ATCTTTTCACTAACAGAATTATCTTTTAAGACTTTAGACAAGTATTCGGGAATGTCCTTACACATATCATGTATGCTCGTCAATAATAAATTGTATTCAGATGATTTAGCTCTTCCTATAGCACCACTTGAATAACTATCCTTTGCTGAAATAATGTAAATTCCGATTGTTGTTTGCTTATCGAATCTTGATATGACACTTTCAAAACTTTGTTCATAAGATCTTTGCATTGAAACAATAATACATAATGATTATGACTGCCAAACATATCTATGCCACCGTCTCCTCTTGATATCTTATAAAAAAATAACTGTAAGTAATTGTCATCATTATTGTCAAGGAAAATGCTCTGGAGCCAATGCAGTCATTTATCCATGCATCCTATTCACACAGACTCGGGTGAACTTTTCTGATGACAGATAAACAGAGAAGGACGTTCACAAGCAATTATTACTTTGCTCTAGTAACATCCCTGTGGCCACAGTGCGCCTCCGGTTTTCTGCTTATCATATTATCATAGTGGCAGCGTAACTTTAGATGCATAACAACTAAACGTTCACTTAATGATATAATTAACTCACTTAACCCTTTGGCAGTCAATCTTTATTGTATTTTTAAGCACTTTAAAAGCTTTAATTTCAAATTTTTCACCTTTAGAAGAATTCATTATTGATAATAAAATTTCAAATGATTAAAATTTTTTTGAATTTCGCACCCGATATTACTATATATTTCGAACAAAATAGGGGTGAGGATTTCGAAGATCACTGTGCCACATGATTAAAAATCTATCTGATTGGTTGTTGATCCTTGAATGTAATTAGAATAAAGTCTGTTTCATAATTCTGGCCAGAATTATGTTGTAATACAAGATTTTAATTGATAATAAAATTTCAAATGATTAAAATTTTTTTGAATTTCGCAGGGGCCAGAATTATGTTGTAATACAAGATTTTATTAAATATACTTAAGTATATAAGTTGTATAAAACTTAAATAATTTTAATTGGTTTATCTTATTATTGGATATTACAATAGAAGCTTTACGTAAAGCTAATTTAGATAGCAAAAAATGTAAGTTAAAAATTGCCTTTATCTTAATGATTAATCCTAATAAATTACATGACTTAATGGCTCACAGGTCCGTATTTTTTTTGATTATCAACAATCCATTTTCTTCATTATAAATTTTCTAAAGATCTCATCACCAATAAATACATTTCTTTGTTTAATATAAAATTTTCCAAGATTGATTGCTTTCAGTTTTATTCCTTTCAGGCAAGTATTGTCATGAGCATTGAAATCCGTAATAAAGTACACAAGGTAACTGAATAATTCATCCAGATTTTTTCGTTGTAACTCATTTATCTCCAAATTATTATATAGCAATGTATTATTTAGCTCGGTAATATCATTTTGTAAATAGATTGTAAATGAATCAACTAAACCATTTTTTTTATCATCCTCGATATTATTATTAGAATCAACTAAAAGCTTTTTCTCAGTAATATCATTCTAATCAACTAAACCATTTTTTTTATCATCCTCGATATAATTAGTTAAGCTGAGAAGGATCTTTAGCCCAAAGTTTATAGTAAATTCATATG